GGCAGCTTTGTCATATACTAACCTAACCTAAACCCACAGGAGGAGGTCGAACCAACTAGGAAATGTAAACACATTCGTTTCATTCACCGTTGTACCTAAACACCACTGGATTTTATTAATTTTTTTTTTTTCACACATTCACATTCAACATTATACTCCATTATATCTGAAGACATTATGCCATCGGTATATTAGACTGAAAGCTGTTATATCAATCGTCTATTATACCCAGTGACCACGAACCAAGCTGACAACTGCAACCGACAAGCTGGACAAATTCCAAAGACTCGCCTGCATGGCGACGACCGGCTGCATGAGGACAACTCCAACTGCGGCCCTCGAAGCAATGCTGGACCTTCGACCCCTCCCACTGTTCATCAGACAGGAAGCGGCGTCAACAGCAGTGCGTCTAAACAGAGCCGGCCTTTGGAAGCACATGAGGACCCCACACACAGAAATCCTTTACAAGACTGTCAATGAGGAACCGCTACTGGAGGCGGTTGTGGATAGGATCCCAAAACAATACATCTTTGACAAAAAATACAAGATACAATTATTTGAAGATCCCAACGAAGGACTGAACCCCAGAGAGGTCCGAGTCTTCACTGACGGATCTAAAACAAACTCAGGAACAGGTACTGGGGTATTCTCAGAAGACCTCAATATTAGGATATCAGCACCGCTTGGTGCCCACAACACAGTATTCCAGGCTGAATGCATGGGCATCAAGTTGGCGGCAGAAGCAATCATAGCGAGAAGAGTAAAGAACTACTCCATTCGAATACTCTCCGACAGTATGTCAGTACTTCAAGCACTGAATAGCTATGACATAAACTCAGGGCTCATTTACGAATGCCATCAAGCACTCATGGAGGTATGTATACAAAACCACGTAACCCTACAGTGGATTAAAGGACACAGCGGCTCACGTGGCAATGATGCGGCAGATGAACTAGCCAGAAAAGGGTCGGAGACGGACGCTGTAGGACCAGAACCGATAGTGTCCCTCCCCTGCCAATGGTCCAGAACAACTATACACAAAGGTACAAAATCTTCACATAATAATACATGGACCACCCTTACGGTTTGTAGACAGGCGAGGGAAGCACTCCCAACGCTAAATGCCAGTCTATCTCGTATACTAATTAAACTTAAAAGGCAAGAGCTTCGCACTCTAACTGCCGCCCTAACGGGTCATGGTCCATACAATAAACACCTTTTCAATTTAGGTATCACAGACAGCCCTCTATGCAGAGCGTGCATGGAGGGGGAGGAAACGGCTGCGCACATCCTACTCCAATGCTCCGGCTTGGCCAACTACAGGGCAAAGTACCTTGGAGTGCCAAGGTCGCTCCCCGAAGTCTTCAGCAAACCAAGGAGGCTGCTGAGATTCCTGGAGGAGCTTGGGTGGCACGAGTAGGACCCTGCACCCACCACACGCAAAATAGGCGCTTTGTCGTCGAGTTGCGGAAACCAGCCCGTTGCACCAAGTACCAAGTACCAAGTAGTATACCCAGTGACCTTCATATCATGCAAGAATAGGTCAAATGTCTACCCACCAAACACCATAAATTAATTATATCTGTTGAACGTTATATCGACTAAAATATGTCATTTGTTGTTATATATATTACGAATCGCATCCGGAGGCTCCGTTGTTTTGGGCAGCGATTCATTCGATGGACCGTACGAAGTTAGTCTTCATCGAAAATGGCACATTGAATACACACCGATACATGACGGAGATCCTAATTCCTCACGTACAACCCGCATTGACTATTATTGGAGAAGATTCCATTTTTATGGTTGACAACCCTCGCGCCCACCGTTCTGGCGATGTGGAAGCGTATATTCAATCCATTAGAGATTGTCTGAGATGTTCTCAAGTGGCTGGTAAGGTCAGCGCAGACAGCACCACAAAACAAGAGGGAGCTAAAAAATCTCATCGCCGTGGAATGGGAATATTCCACAAGAGGTCATTAAGCAATATCCTCGAAAGCATGCCTAGAAGAATACAAGCTGTGATTTTGGCAAGAGGAGGCCACACACATTACTAACTTGTTACCATTTTTCCTTTCCATTATTAAAAAAAAAAATCTTTTAATTTTTATTTCACTTAACGAGTATTATTCTGCTGACCACTGACACTAGAACGACATTTTCTCATTTAGTTAATCGAAATTAATAGAAAAAATTTGCTGAAACGATTTTCTGCATATTCATTTCTGAGGATACTAGTTAGTTAAATAATAAAATTTACTGCAGGTGACAGTCAAATACCTTATTTGCTTAGGTGCCCGTTTTTTTTTTTCAAAAGAGTGTAGTACTTTACACATAGTACACTACCTCACGCAAAGAAGGCAAATTCAAAGATAACTATATTTAATTAGGTACGCAAATTGCACATTGATTAAACATTACTACTCATTCGTAAGGCAGGTTCTCCTGAGAAAATAATGCCGAGGAAATCAACTTGTTGACATCAATACCAATATGAATGTGTATGTAAATAAATAGCACTTATTGTTAACCATTTCAGCCATCGAGCAGTACCGTAGTATTTTCACAGTTCATTGAAATTTAAATAAATAGGCAAGTAGTACATATCTAATCGCATAAATGACTATTTCTCAAAATATAATATACACTTTTACAAAAAAAAGGGATGTGCCCCGAAATAGTCAACAAAAGTACTGTTGTTATTCAGTCAACAGTACAAAAATAAATAGTAAAATTTTAAAGAAAAAACACGTTAGTTTTTAATACTACGAAGAACGAAAAATGTAATCTTAGTAATTCATTTATTATTTTAACTTTTTCATAACTGTGTTTTTTACTCTTCATACAAAAATAAAATTGCCACCCCCTTACCTCAAGTGTTTCTCACTTCATAAAATATGAAATATCACGATAATAAGGTGCAATTTTTTGTATTACAGACCTTGATTGAATGTAGTTTCTGTATTAAAGTGATTTGATATGCGGTTTCATAGCAAAAATTTAAGTAATATGCCAAAAATAAAATTAGTCATACCGATTTACTTTTCTTTTGTTACGTAAGTCAATGTTTGTTACGCTTAATTTCCACTTTCACTTAATTTCTGAACTCATCCATTAGATTTTATTATACGGGCAACACTAGAATCATCCTTATTAGCTTTCCTTGATAATTATTTTTATGTTTTCGGCTGAAGGACTTTGTTTCCATGGCCAGCAATAAATTAAAAAAAAAACCTTATTAGCTGTTGGTCTGGCGTCCTCGGCCATATTTTTCATGACTATCTGTCCTGTATTAGTAGTTTGTGATCTGTCCAAATGTGTTGGTCAAATTGTATATTTTCGTGACGTTAATACACAAACTAATAAGCGTTAATAGTAAAGAACTTTTTCATGATAAGGTGTATTGATTTATTTATCCCGTCGTAATACACGTAAATCAAATGTTTAATAGGTGTATTATATTAGTAATATCAGGTTACAACAAATCATTGGCATTTAAAAACTCGGTTATGATCATATTTGTACTATTATTTCGTAACATTTTTATGCGTTACATAATGGAATAAAGCTGAGTGTACACAGGTATTACCCGACTTCGATGATGCAAAAAAGAATGCCATGCAATAAAGTGTTATTATATCTATTATATTTTGCCAATGTATAATAAACTTAATGTTAAAACTTTTTGTAATATTTTGTAACGTCCTTTTCGTTACGTACAATTATTTTGAGAAATAGTCAAATACACTAATATAAGCACACTTACTAACGCAAAGTCGGTTTGAGCCGGTTAGAAAAAAAATCCACGTCTTTTTCGCTTTAAATATGGGTTCACAAAACTATATACATGAAATTCTTATACCATTGAAGTCCCAACAACATACGTATTACGTAGTAAAAACACTGTCCTATGTTAAAAACACTAACCCTCGATATTACCGCGGAAGGGAATGGAAGCGAATTTTTGTAAAAAGAAAACAGCATAATGAACTTTTATGTCAATTGTGTAACGCACAAACTAGAGATAGCGCGAGAATTCTGCTTTTTATGGTTCGTATCTTGATACATCGTTCCGCGGCAATGTAAATTGTGCCTAAGGTTCACATATTCGCCTCAAAACAGAACAACAAAAAGGAGCACCCAGTAGGGGCATGAAGAAACGGCCAAAACAAAGGGTGCGGCGCAGATTTAATTGTGTAAATGTACATTACGTGAACAATTTGTTTGGTGAACAATTTTAAGTAGAGGCATATCCAAGATGTGTCAGGAGTATAAATAAACAAAAGACATTACGGTTTGTCATAATTTTATTTACGTTACATTTCGACAGAACGGCTAGCCGTTCTATCAGGAAGTCACGGCAGCGGCTGCAGTAACTTATTTACATTGCAAACCATTACTTCACTAACCATATCCAAGGCATTGTTCTCTAGATCACTACATGGCTAAAGATGAATTAGGCTACTTAAAAAATAAATTACCTACTTTGTGTAGAATTTACAGAAATTGAACATGAAGAGCACGAAATATGATTGATGTTACGACCAGCAGAGTTCTAAAGATGATTATGAAAATGATTAACTAAATGAGGAAAACATTGCCTTCCTAATACCACCTAATAAATTATTTGTTAATTGTAGTCTATAAATCCTGACACGTTTAAATGAATGTAGAAATAGGAGCTTACGTAATTGTCTACGTCCCCAATCGCATTACAATGTTTTATTACAATGTTGTGTGCAGATAAAATGTGAAGGCACGACGCAACTCATAAGATTAATTCATGTTTTGCCATGTAGAGAATATTTTGTATTCTGTCCCATTTTAAATGTAACACATTTGCTTGTGTTAGCGCAGAAAACGATTAACAGATGTTTTGGTTAATACTCTGTCTAGTACAAAAGTGAAGAGTTATTAAACATGTAAACACATCATATAAAAGATGTTAATACCTTTACATTGCATTGTAAAGAAAAACTAACAAGTAATTATAATACACGTGGATCACGATTTCGTTTAAATTCTTTCTATGTATTGTTCTACATACGCAGATCATATTTTTTTATCTGAAGTGTTTGGGACTAGTTAGTCAAAACTTACAGTTCGACGGCCTACTTCCTGGAAATCGGTGCTTAGTGAAAGCGTTATTACAATACTGTACAAAGTTTTGACCCAAAGATGACTGAATTTTTTCGGCACATATACACAATATACGACTTTAATAAAATGCAAATTCATAATTTTAAACTACTTAATACAATATTTCACGGTTACTTCCCATGGAACTAGAAACTAATCCCGTATCAGCAATTAAAATAATTAAATTATTACACACATTTCGTCAAGACTCGATATCTACAAGAATTTTTAAAGAAAGTATACTGTGTCAAAATGTGATAAAATATAATTTCACCTTTCCGAATGTTAAATATATCCAACAAGCAAAAGCTTAGCTCGCATTTATTTATGCTACTATTATAGCGTAAATGTGATCCTTATTTATCACGATTGTTTACCTTCATAGTCTTTCATTCAGAATAAACTTTAAGACGACACTTTTACGAAGCAATGCCACCGCTCAGTACGCTTATATTACCCATAAATAATGTAAAGATTTAACGTTATAAATTTCTTGTCAGTATAACCGTCTGTTACTCTTCGTTTTCGATGGTATTTGAGAGAAAACCTGCACAGCACGATCTTGAAAACTTGTCACCTAACCCATTCGAAGACGAAGCTTAATCCACAGAGCGCGGACGCGCGATCCAAGTAGTAGAAAAATAAAAACACGAGTTCCGATTATGATTCAGTCTAGTTCTCATCGTAGAGAGGCGTGGCGTCGCCGAGGGACATTGAGCGCGGGGAGGTGTTGGTGTGGGGGGTGGAGCGGACCGAATGGGCGCGCGACGAACGGCCCGAATGAGAGTGGCCGTGCGGGGTGCTGCGGCCCTCGTGGCGGGGCGTGCGAGACAGCTCGTGGCGCGGCGTCGACCGTGAGTCCATGCGTGGCGTGCGGCTCGACTGGCGCGGCGTCGACATGCTACCCTCGCTGCAACGACAAACACCACCACTTAGAATGGTTACAAACGGCGACTTACAACAGCGATGCAAACGCGCGATTGCATCGCTACACTTGCGATTTATAGCCAAACGCGCGATTGCATCGCTACACTTGCGATTTGCGCGATTGCATTAATGCAATCGCGCGTTTGCCTATAAATGCAGTCGCGTTGCCTCGCGTTTGCATCGCTGCTTAAAATCGCGCGCGTGTGTAATGGTAGACGATTAGCTACAGTACCGCGTTTGCATCGCTGCTAAATGTCGCCGAGTGTAACCGCTCTTAGTGCTCTGGATAACAATAACAGTACAGTGAAAAGGCCAAAGTTTTAGCTTTTAAGTCTGCAGGCAAGGAATTCCACTCCAAACCCGTTCGCCATATAAATGTGGAAGCGTAACGCTTCATGGGAATATTTGCAATTTACAACATAGGGGTGATGGAAACGGGATTAAATCGTACAATTTTATTAATTCGATATTTTATGTATATTTTTATCGAATATCGTGATGTTATTACTATCATGATATTCATCTATTTTTTGTGAAAACACTACTAGTTTAGTTCTTATTATTATTAATACAAAGATCGTACAAACACAAACGAAAATTCCTTCAATCCGACTGTGTTAGAACGTGGTTTCTTACCTGCTTCGCGGCGTAGCGGGCGTGTCGCGCATAGACCTGTGCCCCCCTAGACGCACCCAGTCTTCAGCCGCCTTCTGCCAATCGGCGGGCTCGGTGTACACGGGAATCTGCACCGGCATAGCCACGGGCTTGTGTCGCGGCACAGCTGGTGTCAGGAAGTCGGGTTGCCGCGGCGTCGTCGCGAACGGCGTCATGTACGGCGTCTGCGCCGACGGCGTGTATGGCGTGTTGATGTACGCCGGCCCGGGCGTGTGTGCGGGAGTGTGGAACGCGGGCGTGTGAGCAGCAGGAGTATGGTATAATGACGTCATTCCGTGTGGAGTACGCATCGCAGGAGTACGTTGTACGGGGGTGCCCGAAGGCGGCGGATCTCTGAAGTGCTCCTTAAACCACTTGAGCAACCCTCCGAGCGAATCAAACATTCTCTGTCTAAACTTATACCCGTCCGGTGTCACCGATACGTATTCGTGAGTACATCTCGATCTGGGCAAGTACGATAATAAAAACCTTCCAGGGTGATTCTTAGCCGCAGAAATGACGTAGTGAATCTTGTTGGGATTTTTAGACTTTTCTTCTTTTAGAAACTCTTCAGCTTTATCTCGCATGCCGCCGAGCGATTTGTAATATTTGTAGGCGATAAGATCTCGAGCGTGGCCAGCCATAGGGGTCACGTGGCGAGCGATGATTTCATCTAGATCTTCAAATTCTGAGCCTTGAATCCAAAGACTTCGACCTGAAGTAAAAATTCAAACGTTAGACAATGTTCAAATTAAAACAACATAACATCATAGACAATGATAAATAACTAACCTAGAGAAAAAGCGTTCTCTTTGCCTTCTTCTCGTACATCAATATGTTGGCAAATACCTTCAGCTACCTTCCACGTCACTGTTAAGTGGTCGGATCCCTGAACATAAACAGAAATCAATTAGCATTTTAATTTACGGTACATAAAGTACTTTTCCAAATATCTATTGCGGAATGTCCTTACCTTACTACTAGGCCGTACAATAACTTCACCTTGTGCCATATTTTCCATTAACTTTTCTGCTTCGGCAAAAGAAATATTATGGAATGCAGGATGGACTATGACACGTTTGACGTATTGCAATCGTTCCTTAGTTTGTTTGGCTTCAGCATCTTTGCGGACGTCTTTATCTTCTGCCTCTTGATCATAATATGGGTCTTTTGGTGGTCTAAAAATTAGAATAGATATTTAATTGTGCAATCACTATTATACCGTAATAGAAGTTATGTACTATTTATTACTACATCTGAACAAGTGAATAATTAGGACTCCCTTTTTTTTCAGAAAGTTTAAGTATAATTTCGACAGTCCGTTACAGTATCAAATTACCAAAACAGCAGAAAAATACTTCTTATCATAACAAAAACATATTATGTAATACTGATTTATCAATTAAAAAATCATTACTACCTATTAAAACGTTACAAAATAATTAGTTTTTCACTTGTACCCTTCGTTTATGACACGGTTCTTTAATGCAATAATTTATTTTTATTGAATATTTTATGTTTTTACTATCATAATATTCATCTATTTTATGCGAAAATATTCCACTAGAAGAAACTTTAATAAATTCTCACAGGAGGCGTTATGGCATAAAAGCCGTTTAAACCCAATAAAAGATCAACAACAAACACATGGGGAATTTCATAAGATCTGCTGAATCGATCCATAGTCCAGTTGGCAGAGCGATAGCCACGTTGAGGCAACAGTCGCTAGTTCGAGTCAAGTCGGGTCGAAGGAATTTTTCTTTGTGTTTGTTCGATCTTTGTATTAATAACAATGACGGGTCTTTATTTCCCTCAGTCACAAAGAGAAATCGTTAGTTGTTACGAAACAATTTCAAATACATATAAGAACTACTAAATTAACATAACAATTTACCTCCATTCATTATTTTTATCCAATAAATCAGAAGTCTTAGATGAACAATCCACGGAAAACCTTTCAACATCTATTTTCAAAATTCTACAATGTACAGTTTGGCCGATGCGCACGCGCTCTGTAGGGTCGGCGACGTGTCTATCCGATAGGTTTTTAATGTGAATGTAACCGGAAAGACCGTTGTCTAGCCGTATCCGGACGCCTGTCGCTTGTCCCGGACATGCGCCAGCGTCGAAATGATTCCATACCTGGGAAAATATAAGGCATTAGTAATTATGTACGTAAGAAATTATTTTCTATAGTGACAGAGGTTTTGAATTTGAATTTGAATTTGAAGAAAATATGGTAAAACGCGAGATATGCTACATGACATGTAATGAATCTACATTTAAGCTCAAAATCTTACCTCAGACAATTCTGGAAAATCATTTTTGTGACAAAATGGGCACTCCCACAATCCAGTCTCGTCATTCCTTACAGGGTTGGCCTGATCCAACATCTCTCTTTGGGGCTTCCTGTGCGTGATACCGACAACTGTTGCAAGAACCATCTTTCCCACATAGAAGGAGTCCGGCGATTCTTTGGTCAACATATCGAATAACTCCTCAGGCGTTGGTGATCGATACGATACTCTAAGATCTTTATATCTGGAGTTTAATTCAGCTCTGATATCATAAAGCGTTATACTCTTATTACCGAAACCTTGCCTTTCTAACTCTTCCGCAAATGCGTCTAAGTCTAGATCTTTCAATCTTTCCGGAGCTTCTAGGATCTCTTCTAAAGCGCCTGCAGGATTAGCGTCTTCGTCTTCGTATTCCAAAGCGTCTACAGCCATTTTTCTAGCCCATTCGTAAGTTTCTGGGTGCACTCTAGAGCCATCTAGAACTTCAATGTATGCCTCTGTACTATCTCCAAGACTGCTTGTATCGATTTTGATGAAGCCTGAACAATTGATGAACACTTTAGGCCCCATGTGACAGACTGTGACCAACTGGGTTCTGTTCTCCAACTTTTGGTTTGTTTGCTTGAACAACTTAATCAATGCTTGAGCCTTTCTTGGCCCAAGACCACACACAAATTGTAGAAGTTCTGTCCCTCGTCCCGTCAATATAGCTTCGTTCACATCAACTCCCACTTCGTTGACTCTATTCACAAATTCTAACTCAATCCCCTCCATTAAATCTTCTTTCGCTATTTGGTCTTGTAAAGGGTGATATCTTAAACAAAGTATTTCTTCGTCTGGACCACAAAGTTGGGATATTTCCATTAGAGGATCTTGCAGTAAACGTGCCTGGCAGATTGCTTGGCGTAATATGTCTGGGTATTCTCGGAAGTCATTCTAAAAAAGAAAATATGCTACAATGTGATATACATCTAAGGAGTCTTGCCCAATTATTAATATTTATATTATTACATTGATACTAAGTAAAAAAACGAATACTTGTTATTGTACATACCCTTCCGCGAATACTATTGCTGTAAATCTTGCTAATAGTGTTATCGGCTATCTCAATAGGAATGCGCGGGAACTGTTCATCTTCTATAAGCTGTTGTATGCAGCCGGATACATCTTCTTTTATGGAAAGCGCTTCGCGGGACTCTCCACCGATTACTACTACGTGCGGCTTTTTGCGAAGTATAAATCTAAAGAGGAACAACATTTTCATAATACAATTATAATTTACTATTTTACTTTTACACGAGGAAATTTAAATACAAGACTATTAACTGGTATGAGTTTTTTATTCTCTCTTTTGTATCGCTATTTTTCAAACCTACTAAAACAAAATCGACGTGCGCTCACCTTCGAAGCGCAGTCATGTCAGCTTCTTTATTAGTTCTCTCCAATGCATCATAAGAATTACGCCGATACAGCAAATGTGGCAAACGTAAATGATCGACAACTTCACTGCCTGCTGCCACGAGGCAGGCAAAAGCAGAATGCTGTCGATCTGGTACGTAAGCAATTGAAAGCACTCTGAGACCTGTGAAAAATATACCACTTTCAGAAAAATCTCTTTGTTTTATGTGTATAGTAAACGTAACCATTAGGACAAGAATCGATAATTATAGAACACCAAAGATAAGTTAAGTCCTGTACTGTTGATTCCTGATGAACAAAATACAGGGTGGGGCATGGGAACCTCCCACATTTCAAAGGGTTGTTAAATGAAAAGAACGTGAGATAATGTCAAAACTTTTATTTATAAAAAAAGTTAACGTTATGTAGTTTGGTTTACACTATGTTTTATAAATAATATCCTGTAAATGATGGCCTTGCCGGGCAACGCACATATTGAGCCTTTCGTGAAAGTTTCGCACGACTTTCTCAAGTGTGGTGGAGGTTATCTGGGCGATTTCTTCCTCGATTGCGGTTCTGAGGTCTACCAGGGTCCTTGGACGATGTTTGAATACCTCGGCCTTGAGGTAACCCCATAGATAAAAATCACAAGGGCTTAAATCGGGGGAGCGCGGGGGCCACGGAATGGGCTCATGCAAGGAGACCACCTGCCCTGGGAACATCTCCTGGAGAATAGCCCGTGAACGACGGGCTGTGTGTGCTGTAGCACCATCTTGTTGGAACCAGAAGCTCTCACGTTCATATTCCACACCAAATTCTGCGATCTTTGGCCTAAAAAAATTCTCAAGCATGTCACAGTACCGGTCACAGTTTACAGTAATCGTGACGCCACCCTCCTCAAAAAAATAAGGACCAATGATGCCTATAGACGACAGTGCACACCAGACTGTGACCTTGGGGCTGTGAAGAGGTTTTTGGTGAAGTTCTCGAGGGTTCTCAGCTGCCCAGTAACGGAAGTTTTGCTTATTCAAACACCCTGACAGATGAAAATGAGCTTCATCGCTAGTCCACAAAATAGCAGTGGGAGGCACTAGTTGAAGGATCGCTTCACAACATTCAACACGTCGCCCCCAGTCTGTTGGGGACAATTCCTGGCCAACCATGATCTTGTAGGGGTGTAAATTGAGGTCGGTATGCAAAATCCGCCGCACTGTTCTCGCCGAAATCTGAAGAGCAGAAGCATGTTTTCGCGCAGAACGCGTAGGACTCTGTTCGATCGACTCCTTCACTCGAGCAATGTTTGCAGGGGTTCTAACGGTGACAGCTGGGCCTTTCTTCTTTACATTTAGCGCAGATGATGTTGCTCTAAATTTTTTCACCCAAGACAATATTGTTTTCCGGTCAGGAACACTAGCAGACGATGACAAACTGTACCTTCTACGGAACGCCCTCAAAGTGGCAATTACAGATTCGCCATTTTTGAAAAAGGTCTCGAGAATGAACGCACGTTGTTCTCCTGACCACGGCATGTTGCCGACTGACAACTACATCACTCACGACTCCGAACGAGACCAACCCCCCTCCTCTACACCCACCCATTCCCCTACAGCTGATTCTTGAAATGTGGGAGGTTCCCATGCCCCACCCTGTATAATGATATAATAAAAACATATATAATATAATAATGAAAAAAGAATAATACGTATCGTAAAAATGCGTAATTCTTAATCGCAGACACTTAAAAAAGTTTCTCATGATACACTTTGCCAAAGGCCTTGTAAAAATTTGTGTATATAAATGATATATATCTCCACTAAGTTTTATATACCATTAGAGGCATCCCATTCTTCGTCGTCGTCATCCGACACTCTGGACTCGTAGGGAGCGACTTTTAACCAGTCATATAGACGCCGACGACAGCACCTGTAATATATTATGCATGTTCAAAGCAACATGTAAAATACCATTTTGTCATTGTCACAAACATAGCAAACAGTTGAAAGCTTACTTGAGTACATATTCTTTAGATTCTTGCAATAAAACTGCATTAAGTTCCCGTCGCAGCTCTGGCATGACGATTTTGGTTAGGGCAATGGTTACAGCCTCTGTACGAAGTTCGTTCCAGGCTTGTACAGTGGCCGCGAACTCGTCCTACAAACGAAAATATTGATTATGCGTATGCGTAACAGAAAAAGTTTTTTCTTTAAATTATGCTTCAATATTTGAGTTTATTATTTTAATTCAACAAGTTTAAACATATTTTAGGATTTCAATTTCATCATTCTTTAACAAAAGGACATTTACTAGAGGGAAAATTAAATCGCTTCATAAAGCACCACTGTATTTTTATAGCACCTATCCTGCGTCATGGAAGTTGAGTTCAAGTTTGGAATTTATGTAATGCCACTATAACAACAACTAAAAGTAACGCAATTCATCACCTTTTGATACAATTGTTTAAGCTCTTCCAAATAGCTGGGACCAGTGTTTCCTTCGATCTGCTCGCTGATGGACATTTCAAGGAGCTTGTCTTCAACTGCCATTGTTAACTTCAAGAACTGGTCACCAGTCAGGTCCCGAACAGGTTTTTTCTTTAGGTATTTTATGCTATAAGAGAAAATATGGCCTGAATGAATGAGAAAATATGATCTGTAGTTAATGCGTGCAGTGGTAATCAACTGGCTGCAGTCAATACTTCTAACAATTTGAAAACCAGCAATTCACGTTCTTACGAGGATATTATTATTTTTTTGTGTCTGAAACAACTTGATTTCTTTCAGTAAAGATAAAAGGTAACACTTACCTAAATGTTTAACCAACATAATGGTAAAACAAAAACACGACTGGTGAAACTTTGGAGACAAAAAAATATGTGTTCTTGACAAAGAGCTTTACAATATTCCACAAAAGTGATAAAGTATCGTCACATACGTACCTATAACAAGCATGGTTCTCATCAATTTCCTTCATACCCCTCGGCGTAGGGCGAACAGAAATGGTGGCTCTCTCCCGAAGCGCGTCCCGTAACGTCGCCCGCAATAGAGGCTCGCGCGCCAGTTGCACTGCGCACATATACACTGCGCGGCGGAGTATTTCTTCAGCAGACCCTATCTGACCCACCTGAAAGTAATATGTGTAATAGTTACAGTATATCAGAATGAAAACGAACTACACACTCTGAGGATCGAGGGTTTCGAGTCTCGCCACAACGTCAATTTTAATTCGTTTGTGGTTAAAGTGCCAACCGTTCATCTATTCACCTACATGACGGAAGGCTTTGGCCGAAGGGTGTCGTATACCGGTGATACCGCGGCCGGTTTTCCTGATACCAGATTGCGCTTCACGTCGCCGAAAAGTGCAATTCGTGTAGATTAGTTTTAAAATATATCATAATGTATTTTAGTCTTTAAGGTATATATTATAATATAAAGCCATAGTTGCCTGATTCAAGAAATAAATAAAAAAAATAAGTTGCTCAATCTCGTGAATGATCTTCCACATGTCCCTTTATGTAACTTTATGTAACAATACGAGGCACTCTATAAGAATGACAACATGCAGCAATGGCACAGGTACTTCGACATCAGCCAAGTCCAATGCAGACTGTAAAAGAATCTAGAAGTCCAAGTCATATACATAAATTTAAAAAATCTTGTCCAATCTTACATAAGGAGCGGCTGCTTCTGACGGTGGTACAGGCGGCTGTTCCACTTCGTGCCGCTGGTAGTTATCGCGGACGTTCTCGGCAAACTGTTCAGGTGTCAGTCCGAACTGCTTCGCCAGGGGTTCTACATAAAACAACAATAAGTTTAGCCATGTTAGAGTACTTTTCCTATGACTTGGATTTTGTTTCGAATATGTAAAATTTTTCATGTAGGCATGCGTAGAAGAAACTCAAGTATGCTTACTAAAAAAACGACTCTTAAGTCTGTTTAAAATTATGTCTTACTTGTATATCGTCATTGTACAGTATAAATTTAACTTACCAAGGCCAGCCTTCCGGCAAAGCTCATATGGTCCGGAGCGCACGGCGTATCGCACCTCAGATTGCTCTTCTTCCTCAGGTTCTGCTGCTTCTACAGCCGCGGCCGCTTCTTCGGGGTCCTCACCGTTTCTCTCCGCTTCTTCTCGAGCCGCCCTCCTGTGCACCGAAGGTTGTTTATTGTTGGCTTGTAATTTCCATAACAAAATTTGTATATTTATAACAAGTTACAAACTTTAAAAGACATAATTGCTGAATCACAAAACGTTATTAGGTGACTTACAAAATATAATGTTATACCTGAAATTAAAACAGTTATTATATGCGGAAACCTTATTCGAGACCTATAGAGTGAGACAGCACCACTTGCGTCACCGCGACCGGCCCCCCAACGTTCCCCTCCACCTCGCTCATCAGCAGCTCATCACCAGATACGGATCGTCTCGTCACATAGAATCTCACATAGAAAGAAAAAAAATCCAACAGGCAGAATTGGAAATATAGGTCTGGAATAAGGTTTCCGCATATAATAACTGTTATAATTTCAGGTAAAACATTATATTATATGCTATGAACCGTTATTCGAGACCTATAGAGTGAGATGTGTTTGTTATCGCCTGGTGGTGAGCTATATACTTATGGAAAATGCCAACGTGTGATATTATACTACTATGTATATCACTGAGATGTACATAGGTAGTATATATGTAAATGAAAATTGTGGTAATCGTTTATGCTTTTAATTCAAATTAACACAAAATAGCCCAACATGTATACTGAACAAGTAAATATTAAGAGTACATTAGGACCGGCGGCGCTGCGCGTGCTGCCCGCGCTGGCGACCACGCCGGCTGCGTGCAACAAAGACTTCACCCAACCACCCAGCACGGTGCGCGACGCCGCGCGCGCCTGTCCGCGTGTCGTTATGAAGAGTTGTGGCAACTCGCTGCCTTCTCGTCGCGAAGCTGACACCTGAATGAGCTTACGTACCCAGAACACGGGACAAATGCCGTCATTATGGGTTTTTACGAATTTCCACGACGATTGCCTGTGCACATAGTAGTCGGTTTTCGAACCGAAAACGGGATGCAGGATTATGTAGTCGCTACCATCCTTGAAGTGCTCGGAGTTGATGCGCAGAAGAGTAAGGTCGTGTACTCGCCGACTGGATGCGAGGAGAGGGATAAGAGCCGTCTGTCGTGACACCTCGTATAAAGTTTCATTCGTCAGAGGGTTAGCCGATAACCAGTCGACTATATTTCGTGGGTCCCATATCGTTGGCCCTTGAGGGTTTTCCTTTACGTTGGCTACAGAAATAGATTTTAAGATTCGTTTCACAATAGGGTTACCACTTAGAAATTCAGAATCGGGGTCAGTCAAACTTGAAATTGTGGACTTGTAAACTAAAATAAGTTTTATAAGACAGCTTTTCTTTCAAATGAAGATGTGCAATGAATTTTGCCAGCTGTGGCCCGCTAGGTTTTAAGAAATTAACCTGGCTTGTGATACACCAGTTTCGCTATTTGGAGCACACTAAAGAGTAGACTTTCCTCGTAGACGGTCGCCAACTCGAATCTAGCAAGTTAACTTCTTCTAAGGTCCAATCTGATAATAGGTGGGCCCACCCTTCACCAACCATGCCTCTAGATGAATTTTCTCTAGCAGCAGTGTCGGCGTATCTATTAGGTTGTGTCTGAGGTTCTGTATCGACCACGGAGGAGCTATGGCCCTGCGTTTGAGATCGGGACGCCAGAACACCTTGTGCCACCAGGCACGATTAGCACGTACTCTGACTGTGTTGAGATGAGCCACGACACGGGGTATGAGGTGTGGCGGAGGAAACACCCGCGCTATCTGAAACGACCATTCTCTGCTGAATGCGTCGTGAAATTCGGCGTTCGAATCGGTGCAATCTCGAGTTGAGTAGCGCAGTAATACGTGAGCACTTCTCGAGGCAAATAAGTCTATTTGTGGCTTTCCGAATCGTCGGAATATTATGTGACAGGCTACCGCCGATAGCGTCCACTCTCCTTCTAACTTCTGACGCGAGAGTTTGTCGGCCTCCATATTCAAATGTCCGGGAATGTAATGAGGGCAGACCGCCTTCGTTGCGTATGTAACCCACTACGCTTTTGTTGACGGACTGAACGAGAACAGTCGAGTTCCGCAGAACGTGTAGGTGTGTTTGAACGGAGTGAATTATTGTTCACATTTCCTTGAGATTACTGTGCCAGGATATTTGTTCTGCGCGCCAAGTGCCTCCGCTCACTCACCGCTCACAGTCCCGTCGATAACTGCTCCCCAACCGTCGCCGGACGCGTCTGTCGTCAGGAAGTGAGCGACAAGTCTCGGGTGAATGGATGTGCTCGTCGTGAGCGTTCCCTGCCACCAAATCAATGCTTTCGCGGCTGCGAGATGGAGTGGTCTTTTGCAGTGTGGTTGGTCTTCTGGCAATAGACCACAAGCCATTTGTAAGGGGTGGCAATGAAGACGACCTCTTGGGATGGCAAATGATGCAAAGTTTAGCATTTCAAGAATGCTTTGTACATCTTTCAGACTCCAAACATTCATAGCTAGTGTTTGGACTAACCTTGTCATTACTTTGTGTCGTTTGTCCGCAGGTAGACATTTGAAATTGTGTTCGATATTCCACGTAATACCTATAGTTAGGCTACTATACGTGTCGGGATCAGTACGGACTTCTTGTGGTTGACAGTCCATCCCAATGTCAATAGAACGCGTACAGCTTCTGCAGCTTGTTATATAAGTAATTGTCAACATTGACTCACAATGAGAAAGTCGTCCAAGTAGACAAGCACTCTCATTCCTTTGCCGCGCAACAGCTGCGCAACCCAGTTCGTAACAGTTGCAAATGTTACGAGTGCTGAGGACAGTCCGAATGGCAAGCTCGTGATCTGCAGGAGCTCGGGATCTCTCATTTCGTGCGATTTGTAAAGGACTCTGAGAAATGGTTGATGGAGCTGGACCATCGGAATGTGAAAATAGGCCTGTGTTAGATCTATTTTTACAGCCCAGTCTTCCTTAAAAACTCTGGCACTCGTTGTATATTTATCAATCGGAACTTGAACTGAGCTAGATAAAGGTTGAGGTTTAAACATTTAAACATGTCTTTGATCAGATTTTTTTTACTAGAAACATAGGGCATACGAAACTGGGCGTTTGTGGTGCGGGATTTTTTGCTTTTTTAATTCTAAAATTTGTTCGGTTATCGCAGCACTCGTTTGTGTTTGATAACAAAGAAGTTGATTGTGATTGACAAGTGGGGGTACTTTGCAAAAAAGAATGCGATAACCAGAAATGATCTTGATTACGTGATCGGGAGCGGCCATATTTTGCCAAATATGTAAATAATTTTTTTAAGAACCGCCTTAAAATAAGTTTTGTTTGTAGTCACTTCCGAAAGCGACTATTGCCGAATTTATTTTTGCGATTAGGTTTGTTCTGTTTCTTAACATCGCGTTTAGTGCCAGAGTTGTCAAATGGAAAACTGCGATCCTTGTTACCTTTGCTCGATGAAGGACCGTAGGCATTGTGCTCTTGTACATCCTGCTCGCGAACTGACCTCCGCGGTCGTTTGTTACGTGAGAGATCCTATCTATTCGGCATAGACATAATGGGCTTAACCGCTGAGCGCTTGTTGCTATTAGTAAATACCTTGTTAGTCCCACCAGTTTCCTGCAAGAAGTTACTTAATAATTCTGGATTAAACAGGTTAGCATTTGTTGGAGGGATTTTACGTAAATCCTCACGAATATATTTGTTTTTAACACCTGACAAAATACTGTCACGTCTTTTTTGTATAGCATCAGCTCACCGCATGCAAGCTGAAGCAAATCTTCAGAAACCTTCATGAAGTTAGAATTTCTAGTAAAAAGTTCGGAAACTTTTTCATAGTGTTTCAGCATTCAAAACACAGGTAGCGGAATGTGACCACTCAATTAATTGCTGCAAATTACTTCTAAAAGTTTCATGCTGCTGAAGCAAAGCATGAGTAATGGCACTAAAAGAACAATCTAGATGTTTAAGCCAAGATGAATTGGGATCATAATAGCGAAGTTCAGTGTTCACATCCATGTCGTAAAAACCGGGTTTGGCCAGGTATTTTTTCTCCGTCTCGTCATATCGTACACGCTCCCATTCGTTTGTATCGAAATGATGCAACTTGGAAAGTAAAACAAGCTTACTATCCGACGAATTCTCGACAGTGGGTTCTTTTAAATTCGTGTTAATATCGTAATGAAACGTTTTGGATTGTTTCGGTTTATTTAGTAACGGTTCATTTTCAAAAAGCGATGTCATTAATTTCTCGGAAGGTTGTAACGATGTGTCGGAATCAGTATCACTAGCTTGATCGTTTTTAAATGATTATCACTAATATCAGGTTTCTTACCACGGTATGACTTCTTTTTATTTTCCCAATATTTCGGAACGGATGCACGCTCCATGGTCCGGGTTGACTGCACGGCGACAGATGACAGCTTTAAGAGCAGACATATCTGTCTACCCTCTTGCGCTGTCGACGACTACCTTCATCGCGATTTGTTGTGGCGTTACCATTGTCACTCACTTTTTTCACACAAACCACACTCACTGTATCCACACGCGAAACTGATCTCGAGGTGTTTTTGTTTTTATTACTGCACGCACTAAGGACCGGATTCCATGCACTGGACAGTTTAAAACCATCATCACGGTTAAATGTTTTGTACTTCGTGATCTCGATGGCTTCTCGTACCAACCGTGGTATGTAGTGACGTTCTGTCGAGAGTACCTGGGGGCTATGCAACTCGATCCAGAAGTTAGTGTCAGTCTGTGTGAGATGTTGTGCTATAGCCGACTTCTGTGCATCATTGTTTTTTACTGCTCGGATGTGTTTCTTCATACGATCGACAATTGTTCGTTTAGTCTGACCGATATACGAGCTCCCACAACTGCACTTCACTTTATAGACACCCAGTGTTTGTAAAGGAAGGTGGTCTTTTGGTGAACGTAACAGTTTTCCTATTTTGGTTATGGGGGTGAAAACAGTTTTTATGGAAAACTTCCTTAGCAACCTGGCTATTTTATCTGTCACCCCTTGTACATAGGACAGAAAAACTGGTAGTCTCTGTACGTCAATTTGCTTCTTCCTTTTGTGTATTGGTTTAAATGTTTTTATTTTGTATCCATTCTGTCGCAAAACCGTCTAAACGTGCTCCTGTTCCTGGGGTAGGTGGTAGTGGCATCACAAAGATCATAAGCTCTATTGGTTAATGACCTGATGACCGAATGTAGGTGTTTTGGGTGATGATGTGAAGTGGCATGTAAATATTTGTCCGTGTGAGTTGGTTTTCTGTACACAGAATGACCAAGTGAACCGTCTTATCGGACTTTGACCAATACATCCAAAAATGCAAGCGCGCGATTTTTCTCAATTTCATCGTTTGATCGTTTTTAGCACACTGGTTCTTTAAGGTATTCTCAAATTTTGTTGCGACAAACACTGAAAATCGCGATCCCTGGAATTCACTCGCCTCGACGAACGACGACGCCGCATATGCCGCCGGGAATCCTCCGAAGACGATGTAGAACTAAAGACACTACTGGAACTGCTGGGCTCTGCGCCGCGCCGAGCACGTGCTCTTAGGGACCGTGCGCGGGCGCGGTGGCGCTGCTGGCGCTTCTCGGCCGCTGCAGGCGCCGTGCGCTGCTTACTTGGGCCAGCAGCAGGCTCCGCGCACTGCTCGCTCTGCTGCCTCTCGCCTTGATCCGGGGTTTTACCCATGTCTAACTCTTCCGCAGAGCAAACAGCTTAACCCATTTTATATTTTTTTATTTTAAATTTAACGAACAACAACGTTGTTTAATTTTAAACTCGATGCCAATGTGACGAGACCATCCGTATGTGGTGATGAGCTGCGCGCACCTCCGTCCCGACTAGTGCCGCTGGGAGTGGGGTGGAGTGGCTCCCGTGTTGGGGGGCCGTTTGCGGTGACGCAAGTGTTGCTGTCTCACTCTATAGGTCTCGAATAACGGTTCATAGCATATAATATATTGAATAAAACTCACTTTCTCTCTTCAAGTTCGATCTTCTTTTCCTTAGCTCGCTGCAACTTTTGCATCTCGGGCAGATCATTAGAGTAGTAAAGTAAGAAGTGTGTGTGGACATCTCGGAGTTCTTCGGGAGTTTGAACATTCTTCAACCTGAAATAAAACAATGAAGGATGGTCAAGTTGCAACTGTGGCAAACGTGTATTCACTATTATTACTTTCATCAACTGGATTTGCAAACAAAAACTAAGTTACATGCAAGTCATAATCATAGAAAATGGACACAGTCAAATAAACACAGTATACCTTTCAATATCCTCATCCTTAATAAGCCTCATGTTGTCAGGAATGGGAGCATCAGGGTTTTGCATCACCTTGTCTAGCTGAAACTCTCTCATATTTTCCAGAAGTTTTAGTAAATTCTCCTTTCTCTGTTTCAGTTGGCACCACTGGAAAACAGATGATACAAATATACATATTTATTCTAATATTCATTTTTTAAAACCACAGATACGTATGTGTGGTTTAAAATTGTTTTAGAAAATATATAACGAAATATATTGTAAAGCAAATAAAAGCTCAAGCTTCATACCTTTAATTTAATTATGTTATAATTGTATTTGAAAAACTAAGTCTTACCTTGGCGTCGTACTTGTAAACTTTCCATAAATCATTTATACTCAGTTCAGGCTGCACATATTCCTTGCGATAGAACGCTATGAACGGCACTTCTAATGTTTGATTCCGCATGAAGTCCAAAGCTTGCCGGATTTTTACTACAGTACTTGAGCCTCTGCAATAATTATTACAAGTTGTAAATTGCAGACGTTAAGTACGTTTGCCTTTACATAATCGTATAGGTGACACAAAAACCATAAGGATTAACGATTCTCGGGCCGGGAGAAATGTTTGTATGGCCTACATTTATTTCTCAAGTGAGTTTTCGTGTAATTTGTGTCCATGGTACCCGCGATACAGGGTTTCCCTAATGCGGAGCTATGGGTGTATGCATTATTTATTTATTACTTATCTATCAGGCAGCCCGTGACCACGGCCTGTGCAACTTGGGTAAAACTTCGGGACAATAGCTAGATGGAAATTAGCTATTATATTGTTGTATCGCGTTTAATCCCGTTTTGGAAAAGAGCATAATGGACAATAGGCTTCAACTTATTATGAAATATGACATAATCAAAGTTGGTCGAAAAATTTGATAATAATGTAGTGGCGACAGCCGAAACGAACTTCAGGTATCAGAACTCACATTAACATGCTGAAGATGGTTCATGCGAATTGATTCATGCAATATAAATATTCTAAGTAACTAAAGTACATAATTAAGCTTTTCATTGAATACCAGGATGTTACACCACCTCGATTTTCAATTCTTTTTTTGTGTAATTACTGCACTACTTTGTTTGTTACAATTATTAATACAAAAGTCTGGATTCGAACCAACGTCTTCTAGCAAACCATGCCAGACGCTATGCCAACTAAACCACGGAACGAACCAGCGGACCTTACGAATTCTTCTAGGTGCTTTTTGCAGATCTTTGTTTTGGTTTTTAACGACTTTTTTGCCGTAGCGCCATCTGTGAGAAATCTATTTCTTCACTCAGCCAGGTACGTTGACGAAGACGTTGGTTCGAAGAAATTTATTCTAAGTGTTTCGATCTTTGTATTAATAATTATACAATGTTATATATTATTTTACCTGCGAGACCTCTCGCGGGCCTCTTGCGAATCAGCTTTGGAAACGGGCTGTTTAAGGAACGCCTGTTTGTATATCCACTCGGCCTCGTCCTCCAATTCCGTGCTACCCTCCTCCACGGCTGTGATCGGCACTTCTCGAATTTGCATGCGCTCGGGCACATCTGTTTTACGAATCTGCAAGCGATATGGATATTTGAAGTAACAACACGTTTCTCTTGACTTTCAAAAAGATACAGAGCTGTATAAACATCACTAGTTTAAAAACAATATATATAACAAAAATATTTCTAGTTTTTAACCAACTTTAAAAAGGAGGTTCTGAATACGACTTTTTGTTTTTGTATGTATGTTATGCGATAACTCTTGGCATTTGTGAACCGATTTTGATGATTCTTTTTTGTTGGAAAGAGAGTACTTTAGTAGTGGTCCCATTTAAATTTGAAGAAAATATTTCACCTCTAAGGATAGCAAACTGGAAACTAGGGGATGAATTCAGTTTCGCGCACTTGCCGGTAACCGATTTCAATAAAACTTGGTAAATAGATGTAATTCCACGAACTTTTGAGGTTAGTTTTTTTAGTACTTTGTACTGAGATTATTAATAGATCTTTTGCCATACATAATACAGGTTAGACGTATTTCAGAAAAATAAATACTTTCCACTATAGATAGTAAACGATAAGGAGGTAGTACACAAAAATGTGTTTATGTAATGAATTTACAACTTATAGCAATAAGCAAAAGTACTAACCTCATTGTCCAGATCTGTAAAGTGGCTCCTCTTTAATTCGCTGGGTTCATAAATCTCAAAGATAGATTTCTTACTCGGTCGTTTGGCTTTGCCCTTCTTCTGTCTTCTTCTTTCACCTACAACAACATGTATGAAGTAATTTCCGATAAAATCCTAAAAATGGAGCTCTTCTAGCGCCATCACACGGAACCCTATTTACACTGAGCTAATGGCGTCCAGGGAGGTCACAATCCCTACCACGGGGCTTATTATTTGCCCACAAGTCTCAAGTCTCAAGTCTCTTGTGTATTGACAACGCTTCTAAGCGGCATTTGCAGAACAACAATGTGACGGTGCGAATTTGAAAGCTCAAAGTTGATTACTGTATTAATAATATTGTTGAAAAAATGTTACATTTATTTATTGTTTTATTTTATTTAAAACCCTCAAACCAAACAGAATACAAAACACTGCCTCTTCGATTAACTAATTACACATTTCAAAAGTGACTGCATTTTGTTAGTTGCGTCAATGGACACTAGTTTTAGGAATGAAACTATTTTTCCGGATTTAAATCGCGTATATTTGTTTTTTCAAACAAACCGACGTTTCGGGTCCTTTACAGGTCCCATGGTCACGGTTGACTGAGGTGGTACAGTCTTCAACCAGTTATGTCTAATATTGATGCAAACCACCCTATTTTTTCCACTATAGTTACAATAGTTATTAATTAAATACTTTATTTTTAATTTTACAAAGAAAACATTCCAATTTACGCTACATTAAGTTTTACAAATTATTTTATTGAATGAATTTTTTTTATTAAGTTTAATTCATTATTAATTCTTAATAGAAATTAGAATAAATTAAAACATATTAATTAGTACTGCAGTCTTATGTCTGTTTGGGATTTTTCATTAGAGGACACTAGTTTTATCATCATACTTACACATTACTGAACGTGTCATTGCCGCATCTAGTACGCTCTGCCGTGTCGTATATCTGTGTTGGCTTGTATTTTTGTCTACCTACATATGTTTTTATTAACTTTTTATGTTAGTGCGCTTCTTTTATATTGTAAGTTTGAATTAGTCAAGGTTTTCAGTACGAGAATATGTAATTCTTATGAGTATGATATAATATTTTTTATAATAAATATTCTTTACCATATTTTATCATTGCTCTTTGTGAAGACCATTTACACTTTTTTATGCATTTCATTTTCAATTAAGACATGTGTGTTGCCATGTGTATCAAATGCTCTATTACAAATAGAACTGTTTTATTATAGTGGTAGGTTGTAGTTTGCACTATTATATATGTATATATATAATAGTGCAAACTACAACTATATGAGTAGTTACCAACAACTTATGCATTGCTACAGCAAAGCCGCAACATGCCCTGATGTATTCCAGTGCCTCTACCGCGAGTTTACTGTGACAGTTGTCGCTAGCGACCGCGTAAATTACTTCAAATTATACAGCGCCTCTAGCGGTCACAAGAAGAAACAACATTTTGTATACAAATATTCTATAAGGTAACTGTCACTATCTCATGGCATAGGCACAGCAAGCTGGGCGCTGCACTGGCACGCATATTGTATATCCGACAACAATGCATTAACGACGGTAAAGAAAACTTCCTTAGAATCGCAAAAGTCTGTAAGATGCGCGAGCCAAAATCCAACAAGTGGACCGTCTAACAGCCCCCGATTGAATTCCATAAAACAAAACATACGCGCGGCATACAGATTATATTTATCTTACCATCTTCTTCTTCATCATATTCAAGATATTCATCGTCATCTTCTTCGTCTTCATAATCTTCTTCGCCATATTTCTCGAACTCGTCGTAGTCGAAGTCCACTCCGAAAATGTCTTGACCTTCTTGCAAAGATCTATTCAGAAAAAAGGAAAAAAAATAAGCTTCAAACTTATTACTGTTTAAGTTTAATGATATATATCTAGAGTTGAACCGTTATGAACATACAAACAACAAGTGCAGCTAACATCTCTTTTTTGTTGTTACAATCCACTTTAGAAGTAGTTACTCAATGGCCATTTCTGTCATTTATAGTAGTATAAGAAAAAGCTCAAAAGTAACTCACGCGTCAGTAAAAATAGGTTTACGCCGTGCCTTCTTCTTGATAGGCTTGCCGTCGTCGTCAACTATAAAGTCATCGGCATCGGACTCTTCCTCATTCTCGTCGTCGTATTCCATTTCACGAGGTGCCGCCGACTCTGACTGGTTTTCGTCATCCTTAAGCAATATATGATTTATTATATAGGTAAAATTTAACATACAGGAGGATCTTTACATACAAAAGGATCCTATCATTGTTAAATCAGAAAGTGGATTTGAATTGGTTTCTGGTTCTTTCAAGGTCCAGTCAAGTAATTTCTAGTTTTATTTTAATTATGAAGTTCCTACTAGTAACAACAAACAACAACTTCCATTAGTTTTATTGTAAAGAGTTAAATTCTTAAAAAAATCCCTTTATTTGTGATAAGCAAAATAACATTCAATAAGGTGAAATTAAACTTTAATCATAACCAGATTTCATTGTTTGAAGATATCAACGAGAATCATATAGTTCAGGAAATAAAGAACACTTCAAAACTCCATTCTTTAGCTTTATGCATAAGAAAAGAAAATGCTTCAAGTAAATTCACAGAAGAAAGAATGTCACTGGTTAGAGAAACTAGCAGAGTAAATAATTTCCCATATCAGAGCTTACACGCATTATCCACTAAGTGATTAGCCGCGGGCGGTAGGTCGCGCGCTACTCTTTTCTCTTCAAATAAGTCATTATGCCATACCCATTGTCAGCAGCCAGAGGCTAGTCGCTTAGCGGAAAATGGCACTAAAACTAAACTTAATGTATAAAGTTAAACACCTGTTCATCGGATCCTCCAACAAATAGTGACTCAGCAATTACTTCTCTCTCAAGCTGAGAATCAGCACCTTCATTATCACTGTCATCATCCTCCAGTCGACGCAGACGCTTGAATTTATTCTAAAGAACACAAAAATCACCAACATTTTCTTTAAAATATAGCTTAACTTAGGCAGTGTGTTCTCTACATGTTTAATAATTGTCTTGCTAAGAGTACTCACAAACATCAAATAATCAGAAAAAAATACAATATGGATCCTGTACTAGTCCTAGCCAAAAGTTAGCTCCAAATCAACTGGTACATGTTCATTCAACTTTCTAGGGACATTATGGTCTTAGGAAAATGTAATTTTAATGCAAATTATTCAATCATTATCAAATGCATGCATGGATTGGGTAAAAATCTTTGAAAGTCTGTCAATGATAATCTGTTGCATTAGCATTTGACAATGAGCCAATATGTCTCATTAATATTCAGTTTCCACAAACTATGGTGATGCATTTACACCCTATTCTGTGTATATTATGAGCAGATTCACTAATGGTGAATAGCTTAATAGCATATTGCATAAATGGGTGCAAACATTTCAGTTTTAGAAATCTGTAACTGTGATTTCCCTTGGTATGATATGGTATGACAGGCTGGCATCCGAAACTCGACATCCAAGCGCCTATTTTGCATGTTGAGAGTGCAGGATTCTACTCGTTGTGATTTCTCTTGCTCATACAAAAGTTGTCTGTACACTTTGTTCTAAGCTATGTTCATTTCTTTTAGGCATATTGCAACAGTATCACTAAATGTACTAAATCAAAACATGATCCCCATGAAACCCATCCATTTATCCAAAGGTGGTAAGCCACAGTTTTAACTTGTGTAAATATCATACCCTAGCAACTTTAACTCCCAAATTCTCTTCAATAAGATCATAATCTTCTTCTTCCAATCGATCGTCAAGTTCATCATCACTTTTTTTTCGTTTCTTTGGTCCTACACTAGCATCAGAGTCTTCTCCATCACTTCCTGATTCTTCAATAGGTGCATCATCAATCAGGTCCTTTAATTCCTCACGGAGACGCTCTTCGTCATCTATAACAAAAAGGTTTAAGGTTATAAATTCTAAAAGTATAATGATAAGAATGCCTTATTTTTTTTCAATAAGATTAGTAATTTATAATAAATTACTATTTTTGTCAGGTATATTTTGTAAGTATATTTACGATAACAACCATTATCTAAAGTCATAAAATTGCTCTAAAAATGAGTTGCACTACAATGCCAAACAAGTGTGTCATTTGAAAATAGGTAGTTCTGGAGCATTTTTAATACTGGGAACGTTGTAAATTGCAGTGCGGCGGATTGGTAGGTGTTTATAGAACCGTAAATATATGTTAAGTAGAATCTATAAGTTAGATTAAGTGCAATTATCAGAAAAACGTCTACTAACCTTCATCGTCTTCATCTTCATCGTCGCTTTGAACGGCGACCTTACTCTTAACCTTCTTACGCTTCGAAGGTTGCTCGTCCTCCTCAGAGTCCAACTAAGCAAAAATATTGCAATTAGCACAAGACAATCACCCGACAATCCAACGTAATCATGATATGTGTCCCAGCATTTATACTAACCCCGCTCTCCTCCGCCTCTGACTCGAGAAAATCCGCCATTCTCGCTTAAATTGAACTCTGTACTGCACTATACTTTAAATTATTTCCTTTAAATTAATTAATCTAAGAAAATTACTATTTCAACACTTAAACTAAAAATGAAGCCTATGAATTGCTTGTGAATGAAAAGAAGTCATTTTATTTTTTTTTCCTTCTCTTTTTGCCCCTAACCCGCTTTTTTGTGCACTTTCAAATACCACGAAATGAAAATAAGCAGCCACTAAGTAGAAACCGGCTTAAAGATTTTTGATTTATATCCAGCAGTAGACGTCTTTCGGCTGGAATGATGATGATGATGAAGTAGAAATTTGATTGCACGTTAAGAGTGTTTAGTTTTGACCAATACATTTAATAAATTGTTTTAGCTCTGGCGTAGTTATTTTGTGTGTGTTCAATTACGTAAAAATATAGCAACTAAAACGCATATTAACTTCTAAATGTTGGTGGCAATGGTCTTGTGTTACCGTTTTTAAAAAGTGCGATTTTTTAAATTAATATTTTGTTTCAATCTAAAATCGATTTTATATTTATATAGCTGACAGTGACGTTTGTTCCCATGTTCATGGTACACTAATTTGTTCCTTCCCCACCATAGATTCCCCACTTAGATGTTTGTCGTTTGTTTTTCGCGTTAACGTTAACGAGAAGGTTGTGGTTCAAGCAAAGATATATAAAGAAGTGTTTGGGTACAAGTGATTTTGTTTTTGTGGCTTGATTTCGTGAACACAATGACTAACGAACCCCCAATCGTCAAAAATATACTTCACGCTGGTCAAAAATATATTCCAATTGCTGATGGCAGCAAAGTAAGTAATAAAAGGATAAACACAACATGTTCTTGTTTTATGATTTGATTTACGAGGTCAAGTTAATATTCCAGGCACACTTCCACTTCCAAACATGGAAATTGGGCAAAGAGAGGGTCCTGTTAGATGATAGCAAGAAAATCGGAAAGAAAGAACCCATGGTTCTGGTTATCGGTCACAAGTTCAAATTAGAGGCTTGGGAGACCATAGTCAAACTCATGGCCGTGGGAGAAGTAGCTAGTTTCAAGGTCAAAAAAGAGGTTGGTACCTAAAGACATTGTTTCTGTTATACCTGTATATTTGTATGATGTGTACACAGTACAAGGGAAGTAGTCACTGACATGAGAAATAGGCAGCACTGAGCTAAATAAATTGTCGAAAAATATACAATTTCACAACCAATAATTTTCATACTTACATTAATTAATTTTCCAGTTAGTATACAGTTACCCATTTGTATCAAAGACACTCCGGGAACTGGGCAAAGACAAACACGTAATAAAACATGCTTGTACAATGACACTGCAGACTGAAGGCATTGGATATGATGACTTAGATGAACTTATTAGTAATCCTTGTGATTTGGAATTCATAATAGGTAAATTAAACTTTTAGCTATAATATTTATTAGCACAGCTTTCAGGGCCCAAATTGGACAGTAATTATAATAAATTTCTTCTTTAAAAACACTATTTATAGCATTAAAAACATAAATGTTATGTTGGTTAAGTATACTTAAAGTAATAGTTTATATTATAACTTTTCCGTTCACTGAACTGAAGTCGGAGGCACTGTAGAGTCAAAAAAAATAATTAATGCCTTCTATTAGCGACCATGACAATTGACCTGTGTCTATTGTAGCAAAGCCTTTGATAAAATTTGCCTTTATTTTTCTCTTCTGCATCATTATGTAACAGTGCTGGCCACATGTGACTCTTCGGACTGAATTGCAATGTCAAGTAGAAAAGCTGTCCTTTTCTAATAATGGAACAATTTATTACAAATAATTTTTATTTATTAAAAATTCATACAGAACTACTAAAAGTGGAGAGAGCAGATGAGTACAAAAAAGATCTATGGCAACTCAATACTGAGGAAAGGTTACAACTTATTCCCAAACTGAAGGAGAAGGGAAACAATTTGTATGGACAGAAAGCATATGATGAGGCCGAGAAAAAGTACCATGAGGCTATATCTATTTTGGAACAACTTATGATTAGGTAATTAATAACTACAATTGTTACTTTAGCTCTGATCTGCTATCTATCGCATATTCACCCGTATCCCATCCCACTGTAATGCTATGATCTGGCTGTCACCTGTTAAAGTTTTAGCAAAACAAATATTCACTTGTTCTGGCTTATACTAAGCACTTGTATTTATAAAACTATTGACTCATGTATGAACTTTTTACGAAAGGATCAATTATAGTATAAAGCTGATTTGTGTTTTCAGGGAAAGAAAATCTGATGACGAATGGAAGGATCTAAATAAAATTAAGCTACCAATCTTACTGAACTACGCACAATGCAAATTGGTAAACGGAGATTTTTACTCTGTTATAGAACACTGTAATACAGTTCTAGAGTATGAACCAGGTTTGTATATTTTTAACACTTTGCACATACAGTGTAGTAATTTTCTTTGTTTTACTTTTTTCTTCTGTATTATATTATATTATAGCATTTTTTAAATGGTTTCCTCTCTAATGGAGTTTTTTATCCTTACGTTTTTATATGTAAGTGGACTGTCAAAAAATAAAAATGGACTAGGTTTAACATAGTAAACTTTGTTGTAGTGTTCTTTTGTTGGACACCTGCTCTAAAACAATATCGTTTCACATTCCAGATAACGAAAAAGCATTATACAGGAGAGCCAAAGCACATGTTGGGGCGTGGAATCCGGACCAAGCAGAAGACGACTTTAAACGTCTTAAGTCTTTGAATCCAACAATGTCAACAATTATAGACAAAGAACTACAGAACATAAAGAAATTGCGGAAAGAAAAAGAAAATGAAGATAAAAACGTGATGAAAAAGTTATTTGTTAATGAGAGTGGCGTTGGCGATTCTTAGCGTTAATGTAGCAAGCTGTATTTATGGATATGCGTGTTATACGTGTTGTCTATGTGTCTTATTTACATTTTGTTTTAAACGTCTAAGGGATCTATATTAGAAGTAACAAAGGCATAGCTTTAAATAGTATTTCCAAAAATGTTTAATTGAAATTTCTTTTAGTGTTTCCAGTCTTCACAAGGGACATAGTATGATGTAGCGACCTCGGCACTCCAAGGTATTTCACTCTGTAATTGGCGTCGCCGAATATTGTAGCAAAATATCCGCAACTCCAGGGCTTACTGTGATACCAACATTTAAAGGGGTATGACCCATTAAAACGGCAGTAAGAGCACAATGATTATGCCTTTGAATTTAAGAAATTTTCCGGACACTTATAGACGTTCGTTGAGTATCAAAATAGCTTCCATGCTAGCATGCCTAAAGACCGTAGGGGTTGTCCAACTATCGTTGTGAGTAGTTTTTGTCTCATTGGTCTATTCCTTCTTTAATTTGGTGATGAAATATTTACGATCTTAGCAGAAGTGATAGTATATATGCGTGTTATAAGTAGAAAGCCTTCCTTGGAGGCGGCGCCCCTTCGCCTCCACGTCCATAGTGTGTAATCTACTGTTCTAATTATTCTTTGCTTAAGCCTGTGACTAATCTAGTTGGACAGCACTTTATCTGCTTCGTGTCTTTTTAACGCTGACTGTATGCTGGAGAAGTTAGTTGTTTTTGACATTTTGTTGAAACAAGGGTCTTGCACTAGGAGAACGGGGTTCAGGTCTTCGGGGAGGCTCATCACTACTAAGGTATATCTATGTCGTAGTTGTAGTTTGTGGACAAGCCATCTGTGGCCCTCTGCACAGTTGTTTTGCCACGTGAGGTCCCAGTGGCCAGGGATCAGCTGTTCACATTATTTTCTCGCCGAATCCCTCCGCTCTTTGAGCGAGACGCTCTCATAGGGCCTCTTGTAGCGAATCGGCATGGGGGCTCCTTATGTACCAAGTGTTTGCCGAGTTAATCACAGCCAAACTCTGGATTGATTACTTCAGAATAAGTTCGTGCCTGGCTGGGCATTTCACCTCTTGGACACTGTCTCGGCGAAACGTGGGAACGCTTTTCTTTGGAAGAAGGCCTCTGCGTGCCAGTCACTATCGGTCTGTCAGTACGAGGTAGAGTTGCAAATGGCCGCTCGCCGGGTCGTTTCTCTCTTAGGGATGGGTGATATCCAGGCTAGTATTTGTAGGGTTCTATAACGCAGAATCCGAAATGTAGGTTCGAGGCCCCACGACACGGGGACCATTGTTCCTGTTTTGTACCGGAGTTGATGCTAGCACCAAAATCGTTTCATGACTGGTGTTTGGAAATCCAAATCTCATAGCTTTCCACTCACTGTAGGACGTAACCTGTACCTAACGGGACATACTATTATTTCCCTATGGTGGCAGGGCTACCGTTTATCCTGAAACCCGGGCCAAAGAGGAGCTGCGCTAGTACCCTATCCCTCGGCTCAGCCCTCCAAGATTCTCCGTTCACGCGCACGGTGCTGGACGCAGTCCAGCATTAACGCTGCAGGATGCACATCAAAACCACCCACCACTTGCTACAGTCCACCTCCAGTATAACCTCGCGCCTGCACTAATAAGACTCAAACTGAAACTGAGAGTCGTCTGTGTTGGCCCCAAGGTGTACCCACTCCGTCCATGAGCGCTCTGCGTTAACGCAGACAGCTCAAGATCTTTGCACACTTGGTAGCAAGAGTAATTGGCATATACATATAGGTATACATAGCTGGAAAACAAAGGTACTACCATTATAATTATGTTTTATACTGAGTATTTATTTGATACAAAATTTAGTCTACTCTACGTAATGATACCTCATATTTATGAGCCAGATTAAAATAATTCTTTTTTATTATCTTACTCCATGTTTTGTGTACCTCAGAAAATTACTAATTACGCTTACACGACTATTTATCGTATTATTTAACCAATTTTGAAATGTGATAGTAATAATTATATACATTACTTCTTCGACGTACCTGTCATATTTCATATTGTGTACTTTTGTACAAAAATTATGTCTAAAATATATATAATTATTAGCTTGGAAAATACAAACATTCACTATTCTAATCGAATTTTTTGTTAATATTAAATTTATTGAACTACAATTAATTTGTTTTGTTATGCAACTTTTTCATATTTACATAATGATTATGGGTACTATTATTTTATTTTTCACGCTTTATTTAAAATGCAAGCAAGAATGTGGTCGTCCATTGAGAACTACGATTTCTGGGGGTCCTCACTTTGGTTCTCACACAGTACATTATAATAACTACCGTCATAACGATGACTGACGTGACGATACCATTCAACCGATTCATTATAATTGTTGCCATCCTTATTTATCTAATCAATTAACTATTTTAACTCCGACATATAGGGCCAAGACCACGTCAGGGTTTGATACATAAAATTTATTAAATTATTTACTTACGACATGAAGCTCAGTCAGGCTTGATGTGCTTTAATTACATACCAAAGAGCAATAAGGTACAGTGAAGGGCACATCCATTGAGTTATGGTCACAGCAAGTTTGAGACTTTCGACTTTGCACCGTTCTTATAGCAAGGGACGTAGTTTAGAGGATGGAATCTAAGCGGCAGCGGCATAGTCTCAAATGTCGCGCTCGACGTGCTCTTAACCCTGTAAATGACCAACGAACTCTGTATCGATTAATTGTTTTTTTTTGGAAATTTTGAAATGGAAACAAATTGCTCTAACGCGCATGCGCGTGTTAAATGTCATTAACGTCAAAACAAGAACATAACCTTACTTTTTTGCCATCTGCTGCTTAAAAGTTAATAAAGGAACTACAAATGTCTGTACAAAGTGATGTAAATGCTGAGATGATGACAGAAACACTAAGCGGCAATCAAACTGCTGAAGAATACGCTTACTTGGATAGAGGCGGCTTTTCCTCGGAGAAATTTAAAATTGAACTTCGTGGCCTTCCTAAATTTTATGGAATTGCTGTAAGAACCTTCATTATGCGTTATTTTCAGTGAAATTTGAATCGAAGAACTTGTTGGAGACTAAATGTACTCTATTTAATACTTTTCAATTCATAATATGAGACATATGGATCATATGTTAAGTAGACTGTGCATACATGAAATGTATATAAATTTCATGTTTTAAGTTTTTCGACCTCTTGAATTAGGCTATGTAACATATTGATTGGCCTGGACATTTTTCATCTACTACATTTTTTAAAAAGGTTAATACTACTTGTAACACTTAAGTTTAATGCATGTAATAATAATAAGCAAAAGCTCCAAAAAGTAAATTAAAAATGAGCTTATACAAAGTTGATTGTTACTGCGTTATATTTAAGTAAGGTACCGAAAACTTTTGTGCAAACAAACATATGGTAAGCACTGAATAAAATGCTGAAATTCCTGAAATGTCTTACCAACTTAATTTATATTTTAATGAAAACTGTTATTATTAGCAATTCTTATCTTAATTTATTTTATTGGTTCTATAATCTATAGCCAATAATATGAATTAAGCTGGTTACTAGAGTGTGGTAAAGGTTTTGAAAAAGAATGTATATTTTAGTTAAGTTAATAGTAGTATTACTTTGGGAAGTTTAGTATATTATTTGGAAGCAGTTTTTTCTTGTAGAATTGTAATTTGAACAAGCTTTTGATTGTTTGCTAAATATGATTAATTTTGTTGATATATTCTGTGCTTATCTTTAAGTAACTCATTGTAATGCACCTTAGTCAGTATTTTAATAGTTAATCACGGTTTGCTACACTTTCATTCGTTTTTCAAAGCTTTTATTAGTTCCCTGTGTAATATTAAGTATATTCTCAAATTCAGGTTTTATTTCAGTTGATAATATATTATTCCAACTGTATTGAAGGCAAAGTTAATATTATGTCATCTACATCTAAAAGTGCACTTGTGAGAATTTTTTTATATGTTGATATTTTTTAATGTTTAATGTATGCACTTTGAGAAAACTAAAAACCCTAAAAGTTTCATCTATTTGGGAATTAATCAATATGCACCAAATAAAGCGGGGAAAAAAGAGATATAATGGAGGCCTTTCACTTGCAGCAGGACATGGAACAAGACAGTACCAGAAAAGAAATTGAAACATTTTTAAAATTATTTCGTTCACACTTTCCTTTTAATTTTCAGGAGTTAAAAAAGCTTATGAATCAAAAGTTGGGATTAAATACAAGCAAAATCAAACGTCCCAAGAACGGCAGTCACTGGTTGTATGCCTGTTTTCAAAATGAGGAAGAGCGTACAAAAGCTATTGCTGCCCTTAATGGGTATTCATGGAAAGGCTAGTTTTTTTATTATTTAATGATCATTTACATATGTATATCCAAAGAAAATCTTGCTAAATCGTTAGTCTTGATGAATAATGAAAAACTAAAAATAAATCCTAGACTATTAGTAGAATTAATTCACATGAGTATTTGAAGTTAGTGAATTGTTTATTTTTATCTAAATTTTAATATTTTATTTACTTTTCACGCCTTAATGCTATCACAATGGGACCTGTTAAAAAATTTCATACTACTTGGTACTTAGTGCAACGGACTGGTGCCTATTTTGCGTCAAAAATTTTATACATCTATTTATTTAGGTAAATCCCTGATAGCAGAAGTAGCCAAGCCGGCCCCAGACCCATTGGTCAAAAAAAGAAAGCTAGAAGAAGATGGAATTGGGCAGGATAAGAAGAAGAAAGAGGATGACAATAGAAGTCAGCAACAGAGACTGGCTGAAGCCACTACTCCATATTATAATATACCTTATGAAGAGCAGGTAGCTTTATGAATGAATTCTTATACATGCTGAAAATGTATAATATTTAATGTTAATAATTTCAGTGCATATTTCTTTTATGATACCAAGTGGCAGGATGAACAAGTCATGCACCTGGTGGTAAAAGTGTCATCTGTCCATAGCAGTTGCAATGCCACTGCCACAGTGCCCATACCTGAGACATAAGTTGACAAGTCCCATGTGATTGTAATTTCACCACATAATGTACTGCTAATGTTAATAACTTGTGCCTCATGCAGAAGCCTCAAGTGTTATAATATTAAATAAAGATTAATGTGATAGTGCCATATATACAAAATATTTTGAGCCCTGTTTTGGTTACTAAAGATTATTATTGCGGATCGCGCTTCAAATTAGCTACACTGTGAAAACGTAGCTTCTATAATTTCATTTTACGTAAATACTGGTTCAAAATAAAATCTCTACTTGGTTTAACCCACCGCCTCTCAAGCTGAGCCCGCAGTCTCTTTTCAGAATGAATGTGCCAAATTTAATTTGAATTTACCAGGAGTATTTCGGTGAAGAAAACATCGTGATGAAAACCTCCACGTCGAGGAAGTTGGAAACCCTTGGAAAACGTGTAAAGTCCCCAAACCGCATTGGCCCCGCGTGGCGGACTATAGCATAAACCTCGCCTGAGCGGAGACCCGTGCACAGCGTGTCCGTGACGTGAAAACGGGTTGACGAATAATAGTTATTCATTGGAAATGAAACAATTTTTTTCGGATTTCAATTGCGTATATTTGGATTTCAAGCAAGCCAACGTTTCAAGTCCTATGACAGATGCTATGATCACTAGACCATAGGACCTGTAACAATTGCGAAAACTGCGTTAGAACTCGATTGTTGTCGTACCGCATACAAATGATATTGTTCCAGTTACAACTCAAAGAGAAGGAAATAAGGAACATTCTAATGAAATTTGACAATGAAATTTGGAAAATAGCGAAACAATGGCGTAGCAAAATAGAAGAACAACGTAAAGTGCACAATGGACTTAGTTTCCAACTGTTACCAATACAAAAGTCGCCAGTTACCGAAGGCTATAGGAATAAGTGTGAATTCACGGTTGGGATTGATGAGGAGACAAAATTCCCCACTGTGGGATTCAGGCTGGGAAGTTATGCTACAGGGACTGTCGCTGTTGGACCAATACAGTCGCTTATTCATATTTCTGAAAACACCAAAAAAGCTGTTCTGGTAAGCTAATTTCTAACAAATTTGTTACTATTGTATTTTAATACAGAATGATAGCTGTTCTGTATTAACCATGAATGAATAATATATAACTTTGCGATATGGCTCAATTTACATTATACTTAACAAAGATCTTTTTCTATAAGTCATGACAGTGAAAAGGCGCTGGTTTGGCTTAAACAAAGCGATTGTCTGCGACGCTGGTATTCTGCCAGGATCCTGGAGGACAGAGACGCCAGTCCTAATTGCAAATATTCCAATTCTCAATACAGGTTAAAATTGATCTACAATATGTTGTGAGTAAATAGGCGCAGTGCACGTGTGACCTTTTTGAATTTTCGTGCCCTTTGCCGGCTATCCATTTTAGGAGCGAGCGAGACGCGCGAGCCTTTCTTATTTTATTTATTAGTTATAATCAAAAATTTTGTAAAAAGAATATTTCGACGGCCCCACCGAATAAACGTGTATTATCAAAACACCAACTTTACAGGAAAAATAAAAAACAGAAAAACTTTAATAACTCTGCACCTGATGGTTTTTTTCTTAACAAATGTATGACGAATAAGACGACGTAAAATTAACCTAAATATTTACATAGTAAATAAAATTTTAAATTACATGGTTTTTAAGAAAATGTAAAAAAAGCATATTATTTTTTTATTCTTGCGAAAATAAATTGGCACACCAATCTCAAAGAACTTTGCACTATTATTAGTGTAAAAACAATACGCGACTAACAAACGTATTCATTCAATACACTAATAGTACAGGTAGGGAACCCATTCCGGATATTTTTCCAATATAAGTTTGCATGGATATTCGTGTAAATTATAGATGATGTCCGTTATGCTATTAAGTGATAGTGATTATATTTTGGGAATATTATCAACTTATTTAGTAAGGGTAAGTTAGTTTTATGTTTAAATTGTGTTTCAGGATAGTATATACAGAGTACCAGGTGCAAATTATATATGCTTAATAAAATTTAACACGTTGTATATATTGATTGAGACATTCCCAAATAAAGTAGAATCATTTATTGCCATAATATTTATAAAAACAAATTGCGTTAGTACACTTACAATGAAACGTAAAAAACTTAAAATAAATCAACTGAATTACAATTAATTAATTAATAAATTAACTGTGTGCGACTGAATTACACGAGTTAATTCCGCCTTCCCCTTTCCATCATCGCGGAACTACACGTAGGCTAGGGTACCACCCTTATGTTGTGGACATTCCTTTGATTCGCACGAAGCGTTACGCTTCCTCTTATATCTGGCGAACGGCTGTGGAGTGGAATTCCCTGCCTGCGGACTTGTTCCCTGAGCAATATAACTTGGACCTTTTCAAGGCGAGAGTGAATAGGCATTATTTAGGTGTGCATGCTACACCGTCGACCTCATCGTCACTTTCCATCAGGTGAGATTGAGGTCAAATGCGCACTTATTTTTATTAAAAAAAAACAAAAAAAAACACCTTAAATTAGTTCTTCTGTTTCACTTTCCTCCATGCTAGACATAATATTATTGTCAACTTGTACTGCTGGTACTAAACTTCTGTAAAAGTCCTGATATGGACGAGGTATCGCTTCTGAATCACATAAACTGATAAGATCTTTATACAAAGGCTTATTTATTGGCAGCAAATTTTGGTAAGCTGGCTGAGGTAAACCTAGGATGGGTTGTTCTGCCTTTCGCCGTCTGGAATTCATTCTTGTTACATAATGGAGTTTTAGCTGGTCTTCTTCTAAATAGTATCTAAAGAACATTGTATCTAGATTCGTAGGACAAAAGCTCACCTCTTTAACCTTGCTCCAGTAAACTTTCTTACCGTTAGAATCGTTTGACCAATTTCTACCTTTTATTATGTCTTTAAAGTTTAAAAAATCCTTTTGTTCCATGTGCGTAATTCTGTATTTATTACCAGATACTTTTGCATTCTCAATTACGTGGTACATTTGATCTGGATTATAAATAGTTTGCCTTTTTTTCGCTCGTTCTATCGTGGCATGCATAGAATCGCTGTGTTCAGATTGGCTGTGGCCCGTCTCAAAAAATCTATGCGTGATACTAATATTAAAAATCTTGCTTGCTAAGGCTAGCGTAGCAAATACAAATCTGTTTCGATTTTGCCCTGCACATGAGTCCGAATACAGAGATATATTGTTTTTACCCTGTGCAGCCTGCTCTTTTATAAACAGCCACAAACAGCTAGCAATCTCAATGGCACCTCGTTTTGCTACCTGACAATGCCATAAATAACAATAACCTGTGAGAGTCAACGTATCGTAGACTGTGAAGTTGTAAATAGGAAATTTTCTCTTATAGTAAAATATACCTATTTCACATTGAGGAACACTGAGGACCTTTTCCAAGTCAAAACAAGCCAACGCCGAATCATTTTTATCGAACTCCTGTTTTTCTCGTTCTTTAATTTGCCTCACCATTTCTTTAGCTTTAATATGTTTCTCATATGCATCTTTCAATTCTTCTTTGCGCTTATTGTCTGCATCTTTATAAATAGTACATGTTGCACACAGATCTTTTTTTGGTTTATGAAAAGAAAGATTAAATTTTGTGTTAAAAATATACTCGTATTGTCGTTTAGTCGCTTTGATAACGTGTTGATATTCTTCATTATTACTAATCCATTCCAAATAAAGGCGGTGCATCTTGGAAACGTTCAATGTTTCGTCCAAATATTCTTTCTGGCTATCTTTTCTAATGTAATGTGATTCAACTCTTTCAAATAGGTCAATATGTTTGATAATACTTTTTTCTGTTGAGTTTGTCATTTTTTTTGGCCGATTGTTATGAGTTCCTCTCAAGTCAGTCAATGTTTCACTTTTCGATGTTTTTTCTAACGCTGTGTAAACCACTTGTTGTGTAATAGTCAGTGTATTCAAAAACATGGTCTTGCAAACTTTGATAGAATTTGTTAGTTCAGCATTCGATGGGAGTCTGTATTCAATTGTTTGCGTTCTATTATTTGTACGTGCTAGAGTCATTTTCTTTATTCCCTGTGTTTTGACATACCTCACGATGAAGTCCCACTGTCTTTCGTGATCCCCGATAGCCCAGAAGTTATTGAAAATTCTTGTTCTCGTGCTGTCATGTATTTTCTCGAAGCATTTTGCTTTGCAAGTGCATGGTAATCCTATTCTTTTTTCTGGCTTAACCTTTTTTAATCTGGTACTCTCGTATGATTGGCCAGTGTTTTTCAAAATCTTGTTTTTATTGTCTTTCCATTTGTGTTCATTTCTTTTCCTTTTTCTTGAAATGCGTGTCTCTAAAATATCTTTGTTTAATTCATTTTCTTTTTCGATGCCTTCTATAATGGCTTCTATATCTGATACACTTTGAAAATCATTATCATTGTTTATGAACAATACACTTGGCGAAGCTATAAAATTGATTTTTGTAGATTCTAGGGTCTTTTGTACTTGAGTTGGCGGTGTGTTTGTTAGAGAGTCGTTATTATTATTACTATTTAACAAAAAATCTGATTCATTTGGGATTTCATCTACGGTGTATCTAAAGGAATGAGAAATATCTAACAGACTAGTTGCAGGATTATTTGACGGTTCCTGACTTTCAGACTGAACTTCCTGACTTTCAGACTGAACTTCCTGACTTTGAGACAAGGGCTGGTTACACGTGAATGATTCCTGGTCTTCTTCAAGAGGAACAATCCCCTCGATATTAATAGAGGTTTTCAACAGATAACTAAAATTACCTGAAAAAACACGTTTAGTTATGGTTAAAGAGTATTTAAGTAACCATAAGGAAAAGATAAATACATTTTTTTTCTCTTAAAAAAATTAAAACAATTGTTTTTTTTAAATTCATTATTTAACTATAATATCATCATATATGATGATGATGATGACTATAATATCAACTATCATAATTTCTTTTGTACTTTGTGTTTCTTTTGTAGGTCCGTTCTTATAGCATGCGGCATAGAGTTGAATTTAGTCTTAAGTGTTAGCTTATTGTGCACTTGGCCCTGTACAAAAACAATACTTACATGTATTTGAAGAAACGTCCATATCAGTGTTAATGTTGTCTTCGTCATCTGAAAAAGTTCGTATTCAAATAATTAGATACTTGTGTCCCACGTCACATAATATTTATTACATTATTTCCCCACTTATAACAAGTAGAGAGTATAGTTTATGTAGAGGACTGATTAGAATTTATCGGTCTATATTTGACTCGTATTATTAATGAGGAAGTAATAAAAAGTAGATAAATTTTAAATTTAGTAAACTTAGTTAGCTATAAGTAATTGATAAACAAGTATTATGGGTTACATACCTTTACCTTTTTCTTCACCATTGTCAGCATTTAAAATCATGTTTAACATCTTTTTGCACCTTGATTCACTCATTTTTTCATTAATATCACGCAGTTTCAATTAATAAGTTGTTTGTAAACACAGATAACCTCCTATTTGTAAATAGCGCTCACGCATGACTGTCGAGTGTCGATGTCCCGATAATAAATTTTTATTGCATAACGGGATGCCACCTTCCCCTCACCTCACCTCGAGTGTATTAGGGGAATACCCGGTTAGTAGGCTCGCGGCAAATAGTTTCAAAAATAATATAATGAATATTTACATACTAAACTTTTGTCTGTTATAAGTGTAACACTGAGTAATATTTCTACTTAGGTCTCTTATGAATTCTAAAAGCATTTACAGAATAACACTTCATTACAGTGGTGTATATAGGCTATTACGAAAATAAATACATGGCTTGCTTTTATTGCTTGAGGCATTACCAAAAACTAAAATAAATAAAATACAAGAATAAACGTGCAAAGTAGTTTTACAAAAATGTCAAGACGCGGTGTACGACTATACACGTTTTTTATTGTTTAAGCCTGAAGAGATTTATGTGTATAGAGGAGTATGCTTTTATTCGTGCGTAATTATTATATAAGTTTTCCCTACAAAATACATTTGATTTACATTTAAACTATGTATTTATGTTTTTTTTGCGTGAAAAAAATTTAGGAGGTTAATAATACCTATTAAAACCGAATAGCCTAAAAAAAATTTTTTTGTGTAAAAACTCTTGCACGTTTATTCGGTGGGGCCGTCGATTTATTAATCTAAACCTGGCGGCACAACAAACATCTGCCTAGGTTTATCCGTGCACCGCAAGAAATTTTGAGAGGGATCCATGACTAGAAAAAGGTTTAAGAAACCCTGCTGTATTTAAAAAATCATCAGTGTCAAAAAGAAATATTAACTTTTGGTGTGTGTGCATTATAATAATACAATTCCCAAGCATCCATCACTTCCATCACCGCGCAAGCAGATCTCATTCTGCCGCCGATGCCAAGAGTTAAATTATTAAAACATCTTTCATTTCCAGCTATTCCAAGACTTCGTCCGTAAATCCAGCATGGCACCATTTTCACCTGCTGATTATTCCGGTTACTGGCGTTATCTAACGGTTCGCCACTCGAATCATACTGGCGACATTATGTTGATTGTCGCTATACATCCTCAGGTAAGATTATCCGGTTAATGCAGATCACCCACCCGACGGCCTATAGGAAGTCTGCCTGCGCATCTACACCTGTATAAATGTATCGGACACAAAGCGCCTTAGTATAGTGAGATCTGCTTTACAAGAAGAGGTCACCGTCTGCTATTCCTTTAATAATTAAAAATATTAAATTGGTAAAATGTTTTAGTACAAAAGGCAATACTACTAAGTATGAATGTGATGACATTGGACCTGTCGTTGGACACGTTCTTCGAGCGGCATGCACACCGCTTTTTATAGTGTCGCCATCTCTGACGTCCCAATTTCGATGACCGGCCGGGACAATGTAGAAAAATTAACTTTACTATGTTATCTCGAGTGTCAGTGGGTGTTTGTGGAAACATTGTTGTTTCAGATTTCCATAGCACAAGTGCTTTAGTTACTTACTTTGGGAGCCGAGGAACGTATGTGATGTTGTCTAATATTTATATTATAGTATATTTTGAACCGACCTCAAAAAAAGAAGGAGGCATTTGTATGCATGTTACGCGATAACTCCAGCATTTGTGAACCGATTTTGATGTTTCTTTTTTGTTGGAAAGAGGGTACCTCAGATGTGGTCCCATTTAAATTTGTAGAAAATATTGCACCTCTAAGGATGGCAAGCTAGGGGATAAATTACTTTTGAGGTTGGTTTTTTAGTAATCTCTACTGTTTTTTATATTATCTGCCTAATACTTAGTAGTATAGAATTTTGACCTCAATTTCATGTCCTTAGGAGCAGAATTACTTAATTGCTTAATATGCCACGTGGTCTTCTAGGTATATAAGTTCAACTACTGCACTTGGATCTCGTTCTGAATCAAAAACAAAGTCAAATAGAGGTTCCAAATTTCACACAGCTTCATAAACTTTTTCTCAGATATCGCGCAGGTTTTCGTCTTTTTACTGCGTGAAGAACCCACCCGGGTATGTACCACCGGCCTACATAATTCGATTTTCGATTGAAGGTTAGCAATAACCAGTACAATCACAGGCAGAAGATACTTAAGATCCCACGACTGACAACGCATTTGAATTTTTAGAGGATACTCTTAGTATCGCAAAATTTCCATAGACGGAAGTAACCACTCTTCATTAGATGAACCGTGTAAATGACGTCAGATTATTTTACCATAAAAAAATATTCCTGTAAAATGTTTTTTTTTTTTCAGAAGCTTTCTACAGAAGAGTTGGACAAAATAAAAAAAGATTTAGTGGAACATTTTAGTTCCGACGAATCAGTTGCTTGTGGAATAAAATCTTTATACTTTGAACTTCTTATTAAAAGGTACGTAAATATAATTGATGGTAAATATGTATAAAATGCATTGTAATTGTATCTCAAACATCAATCTTTCCTTATGGGTTTCTCTTATATATTTGAGGGTGTAATATAATTGAGGCTATCAGTGTAAAAGTGGCGTAACGCCGTGAAATGCTTACAGAATATCTTCTATTCTTCATTATAACGAAGGAATTAAAATTAGCCAAATTAATTTCGTACATTGTTTTGTAATTATCTCTATAACCAATTTATATACTTTTTTTGTACATATATAATAATAACGCACACACCAGTGTTGGGCGTTAATCAATTAAATTTCAATCAATAATTCAATCAGATTAAAAAATCAATTCAATTGAAATCAATTGCAATTAAATCAATTGCGATTGATTTTAATTGCAATTGATTTTAATTGCAATTGATTTCAATTGAATTGATTTTACTTGCAATTAAATTTGCAATTAAAATCAATTCCGGTCGGTTGGGGGCCCCGGTTGGGAACCCCGGTTGGGGGCCCGGTTGGAAGCCCCGGTTGGGGCCCCCGGTTGGGGCCCCGGTTGGGGCCCCGGTTGGGGACCCGGTTGGGGGGCCCGGTTGGAGGCCCCGGTTGGGGCCCCCGGTTAGGGCCCCAGTTGGGGGCCCGGTTGG